GTGTGTGTGTGTGTGTGTGTGTGTGTGTGTGTGTGTGTGTGTGTGTGTGTGTGTACATGTGTGTGTGTGCATATGTGTGTGTATAATATATATATATATATATATATATATATATATATATATACCTTGCTACGTGTACTCCGTTAGGCTAACCGAGACTTGTCATTTGCACTTTTGTTAGTTTTGACTGCTTTTATTGTCCTCACTTGTAATTCGCTTTGGATAAAAGCGTTTGCTAAATGACTAAATGTAAATGTAAATGTAAAGTTAATTAATGTTTGTTCATGTAATGGGTTTCCCAGGGTTTCCCAAACATGCTTGTCATCTACACCCCTTTGACATGAAATATCTTTGAGGACATTAATACTCAATAATTTAACAACACATTTGCATTTTTACTGTTCAGTGCCACTTAATGGACATATTGACATGCAGGTAGACAAATAAAATATTTCTATTTTAGTGTCCTAGTGTTTAAATAATTTATATTACATTTTTATTTTGTGATTTAATTACTTATTAGCTTTTTATCAACTCCACTGTCAGGGTTGGGTGTAGGGATGAGGCAAGGACTCAATTGTGCAGAAGAACGGGCTTTATTAATAATAAAATTAAACAAAGCAAACCAAAAATACCCCATAGGGGAAAACCAACTGGCACCTGGACTGGACTGGACTGGACTGGACTGGACTGGACAGGGCAGGGCAAGTACAACAACAAACTGGCACAGGACTGCAAACACAAGGAGAATAAATAGGGACCAAACGAGGAGGGAAATGAGGGAAGACAGGTGGGGCAAATGAACCAATAATCAGGAAACAAGATGGGCGGGGTCAAGGCAATAGGCATGAGAGCACATGGCACAAGAAACCAAACAAGACAAAAGCCATGTGCTCACACAAAACAAAAACACAAGCACATGGCCAGCAAAACAATCACAAGCCATGTGCTTGAACAAAACAAGACACGAACACACAGCTAATGAGAATACTCATAAGCCGCGTGTTCACGCAAGACATGACAACATGAAAACGCGCAGCCAATGCAACACAGCACAAGACATAAAATGACATGAAAGCACGCAGCTGAAAACACAAGCTGCGTGCAACAACACAAGACAACAGTAAAGCACGCGACCGAACACGAACCGATCAGATTGTGCAGAGGACTCATCTGGTTCCCATGGTCTTGACCTGATGGCTGTGATGAGGTCTTCGGAGGGGATCTGTCTCTGGGCCTTGTCTAGTTGTCCTGGGGCCTGTTTCATAAAACAAGTTTACCAAATAAGCCAGGTTTATTTCAGTTAGCCTGACTTATTGTCAGTTGATTTGGTTCAAAATAAGTCAGACTAACTGAAATAAGCCTGGCTTGTTTGGTAGATGTGTTTTATGGAACGAAACAAGCCCCTGGTCTCTGCTGATATTTAGGGCTGTAGAGATCGTTCCTAGGTGCTGATCCACCATCTGCTCTGGATACGGACTGAATCTGTTGGCTACGGTGACCTCGGTATAAGAAAGAAACCTTCTTCTAACGATATAACAAGTAAATCGGGTGTTATGGAAAGTGTTCCTGGCTCTGGTTGACCTAATTTATTCAGCCTAACAACCCTTTAATGGATTTCAATTATAGAAATGCGATAGTGAATTATGTGTTAGCCAGGTTGAAGAGATGGGTCTTTAATCTAGATTTAAACTGACAGAGTGTGTCTGCCTCCCGAAAAGTGTTAGGTAGATTGTTCCAGAGTTTGGGTGCTAAATAGGAAAAGGATTTGCCGCCCGCAGTTGATTTTGATATTCTGGCCAGAGTTTTGAGATCATAGCGGGCATGAAGGACTATAATGCGATAAGAGCTCACTCAAATACTGAGATGCTAAACCATTCAGGGCTTTACAAGTAATTAGCAAGATTTTAAAATATATACGATGTTTAATAGGGAGCCAGTGCAATGTTGACAGAACCGGGCTAATATGGTCATACTTCCTGGTTCTAGTAAGAACTCTAGCTGCT